CAGGGCAATGTGTGGTGGGCAGAAGAAGCTGGTAGGGACAGGGGAGATAAGATCTGTCTCTGGCTTCCCCACGTGGCCTTTTCTGTCCCCAAAACATCCTTCTTCTTGCAGTCCTAAAGCTTAGGGTGTAGAAATATAAAACAAAAGTAGATGTGAATGAAAAGGGGCATTTATAAAAATTCTTTTTGGGAGGGGAATGTTTTTCTCTCAAATCTGTTTTTGAATAGTTACAACAATGGGTGACATTTATGGAGTACCAACCATGGCCCATGGCCTAAGCACTTTACATATTTTATCTCACTTAATACAACAATCCCATGAGATGGGTACAATGATTAATCCTAACTAAATTAAGGAAACTGAGTCAAGAGAGGTTAAGTATGTTGCCCAAGGCCATGCAGCCAATAAATGACAGAACCAGGCTTACATCCAAATGTGGGTTCTGGCATGGTAGAGACGGGCTTTGGAGAGAGGCAGATCTGAGTTTGTGGCTGCTTCCGCCATTGGTTAGCTGTGTGACCCAGGGCAAGTCACTTAACCTCTCTGTGTTCCAGTTTCCATATTTGTAAAGTGGAGGGGATAGGACCTATCACATAGGGCTAATTTGAAAATTAAGCAAAATAATACATTGATCACATTTAGTCTGGTGCCTGACATGGTGACCAGCTAAATGCATGGTTGTTTCTCTGCCTCCATATAAATGTATACCCCAGCTCTCTTCCTGCAGAAAACCTTTCTCATCTGCCCTCGTCTCACACTCCTCACTCATTTGCTGTACTATTTCCTTGAGAATTGTATTCACACCAGTACATTGATATATGCTTATTTATATTAATTTGTTTAACAATAATTTGTTGAGCACACAGAATAATATGAATTTAGCAGTAATTGTGCTCCGGCCATGAGCAAGGCACTGCAGTAGGTACTGTATGATGTTTAAGGCACTGCCATGATTGTGAAGTGTCCGGGCAATTGAAGAATGGAACTTATGCCCTGAGGGACTCAGAATTTACTTGGGAGGTGCAAGCCATAACAAACATGTGAGATACGAAAATAACCAAGAAAATATTCTATAATTGTGTCAAAATGAGTGTACAAAGGAGAATAAGAGTGTGTGAATTCATTCATTCGTTCATTCATTCATTCATTCATTCATTATTTAGGTGTTTGTATTAGGTACTGTGGCAGATGCTGGGAATATAATGATGAGTAAAACCCATAAGATCCCTGTCCTCTTGGAGTTTATATTCGAATAGAGGTGACAGACACTGAATAAATGGAATGGATGCACATGTAATTAGTTACAGTTGTAATAAGTGATAGGAAAGAAAAAGTGGGATGGGTGGTTAGTACTCAGAGGATGGGGCAGACTGCCACAGACCAGGGTAATTAGAGAGTTGTTTGTGGGAAAGGTCCAATTGAAGAATGGTTGATGTGAATAGCCAGAGAGACAAGATGAGGGCCAAAGGTCAGGACATAGGAACAGTGTTCAGATGTTAATAGTAATAGTCTATACTTGGATTATACTTTCATATTTCACAGTGATTTCCCATAAATGCTGCTTTAGTCAGAATAGATGAAGTCATGCTGCAGTAACAAACAACCCTAATAGACACAGGGTTATGTCTTGTTCATCTACTTGTGTGGGGGTCTGCTCTGCTCATCATAGTCACTCAGGGACGAGGTCCATCTCAACCTGTGCTTTTAGGATCACCATGGCAAGGAAAAGGGAATGGTGCAATGGCTCTATCTTAGTTGTCTACCACTGCATAACACAGTACTATAAAACTTGGTGGCTTAAAACAATGTGCCCTTATAATGTCACCATTTCTGTGGGTTAGGAATCCAGATGTGCTTTAGCTGAGTGGTCTGGCTCAGGGTCTTTCATTAGACAGCAATCAAAATGTCTGCTGAGGCACAGTCATCTCGACTTAATAAGATCAGGTCAACTTCCAAGTTCATTCACATGGTTGTTGGCAGGTGACCTTCTCCATTAGGGCAAGCATGTGAAAAGAGCGAGCGAGCGAGAGAGAGAGAGAGAGAGAGAGAGAGAGAGAATGCCAGCAAGATGGAAGCCACGTTTTTTTATTACCTAATCTTGGAGGCAACATTCCATTTGCCGTATTCAATTCACCAGAAGCGATTGGCTGGGCCTTGCTCACTCTCCAGGGGAAGAGACCACACAAATGGATACATGGCGGGAAGCGAGTGTCACTGGGAGCTGTTTTGGAAAGTGCCTAGGAGAGGATGCTTCAACCTCCATCCAGTCCATGAAGGTGTGATACATGGCCGCCCTTAAGTTCAGGGGGGCAAGGAAGTACTATAACACTACCATGTGCATGGAGGTAGAGCCGGTGTATTTGTGCAGCTTTGATACAACATAAATGATCCCACAACACAGAGACTTGTTTACTACTGAGAGGGTCTGTGCAAGGTATTATCGGGGAAAAGTCAGAAAGTCAAATTAGGGTTTACGAGATTAATTGGCTTGAAGGAAATAGGTAGTCGATGAATATTTTTGAACATGAGAGTAATTTTAACCATAATTTAAACAATAATTATTAATTGGCATTTTAAATGGAAGGAGAAATATATGTGCAAGGGAAAAATTCAGAGGGATATGTATTAAAAAGCAATGTTCTTTTCCATCCCCAGCGCCTAGCTCTCCTTTCCCAGAATAGAACATTTTTTTGTTTCTCTTGTATATCTTGGAAACATTTAGGGATAGCTAAACTATATATGTACATATTCCTCCTCTCCTTTAAAATCAATTAGACATGTCTATTGTTTTGTATCTCACTTTTACACCTCACTGTATATCTTGGAGTGATTTCACAGCACCTATAGGTTTATCTCAGTGAAGCTTTTAGACAGATTTAAACCGGTGGCCATGTGGAAGAGAGCAAAGAGAATGGAGTAAGCTAGACCAATTGAGAGGCTCTTTCAACAATTCTGATTATTTTCATTCATTCATTCATCAAACATTCATTTAGGTCCCTGCTGGGCGCTGTGATATCAAGTCACATAAGAAATGATCCTTGTTTTCAAAGAGCTCAAGGGAGCTCAGACAAGTAAACAAATAAATCATCATATAGTGTGCTCAAGTATTGTAACTGGAGTGAAGTGACAGTTGTCTAGATTGGGATGTCTCCATGAGATAAAAAACATGAGCGTCTGAAATACCCTTTCTTTGGAAAAAATGGCAGTGAGTATGGTTTGATAAAGGGTTGCTCTGGGCCCTCCTGAGGGGGGAATTGACATATCTTTCATTTGTTTTATACTCTGCATCCTCTTTCCTCTTTCACTTGCACACAGTGACACAATGTCTGATGCAGGCCAGTGTGGCTGAGAAAAAGACTAGGGAGAGCCTCACGATGGACCTCATGGTTTCTCTGTCGTTTCTCACCTTTGTGGATAGAATCTCTGCCTCCCGCCTGGCTGTAGTACAAACAGTGAGCAAATTCTTGATTATGCAGGAAGATGAGCCTCTGATTCATTTTTGATGTTCAGTGTTATGAGGCAAGCTTCCCGGCCATCTGTTCAAAGGAGGAACGTGGTACATATTTTGATTATTTTATTTTTATCTTAATCAAGTGGCAACTTTCCATCTTGATGCATCTTAACCTGAGCAGTTGTGGCTGGGAGGCAATGGGCTTGAACAGACTGAGGAGGGAGGGGGAAAGCTATGCCACCTGGCGTAACACTGGTGTTAGATGCAGAAGGAAAGACCCCTTGGCACAGCCCTTTCACCTGCCTAATTAGTGAAGAAATTTCAAGCCCTCCAGTGGGCACTGAAATGCTCAGAGTGCCAGGCTCCTGGGGCTCATTACACAAATGAGGGCAGAAGACAGAAATGGTCAGGATCTGCTGGTTACAGTCTGGGGGCCGAGGGGAGCCTGGGCTGGGGACAAGAGGCATCTGGAGCTGTAAAGGGGCAGCTTCCTGAAATGGTATAGGGAGGTAGCTGCAAAGCTTCCTCATTAGACTCAGCCCATGTCTCAGTCCTTTACTGACTTTAAGGAATTGAAGTTTTTCAGCCAATGGCGTTTGATGGAAATGTGCAATTATGTTCCAGGAGCTGGCTCTAGGACCTCACGGAATGAGTGAGATGGAGCAGATAGCCATAATCTAGCCATTTGTCTTAGTTTGAGTTTCCCTGAAAACTGAGCCTGAAACAAGGATTCAGGAGCAGTGAGTTTATTTGGGGGTGATCCAAGGCCAGGGAGTGAGGGAGCAGAATGAGACAGGCAGGGAAGGAGGGAAAGTCAGTCTTGAGCTGGCTGCCATGGCGGGCAACTGTGCCCAGTTCTGGTGAGGATCTGTCAGGAGTGTCCCCTTGGACACTTCACTTTGGAGGGGAAGCGGGTACATTTATTCACTGATTTCAGAACCCGCTGGTTGAGGTTGCCTTCAGACTGCCCTGCACTCTAAGACCCTGGAATTCTGGATAAAAATCTCTGTGGGAAAGAAATAGAAAGGTGGTCCCCTGCACCATTCATGGAGACTGACTCTCACAGCTGTAGCTGAAATCCTAGTGGGCTGAGGGGGAAGTGGAATGGGGGCACAGAACACATCCCAGTCACCCCTGGAGCCAGGAAGTGGGGAGGAGAGGGGTACTGCATGGCTATCAAGAGTTACCGTGCATGAATTTGGTTGGGATGGGGGCACCAATTCCAGTCCCCAAATTCAGACGGGTAAGAAATCTCCAATTATGTCCTTGCCCATAAGTAAAGCTAATTTTGGCTCCGTGTTCCCATTGTACTGTGCTAGTGGGAAATTTCATCTCATTTGAGACTCTCCTCCCTGTGCGCCAACTTTCTTACCAGCTCCATAGTCGGTTCTGATTTCTGTGAGCCACTGGAAGACTCGGAGAAGATATCTATAGAGAACAGACTGTTATACTTACATTGTACATGATTTTTCTTTTTGTGTGTGTGGTGGTAATTCTTCTGGTTAACTAGTCAGGTCGAACAAACTATTTTCTTTTTTCTCTTTCGCAGGTGGCTTTATTTTTGCAGATGTTGGAGGTCTTCTGTGAATCACTGTGTGCAGAGAATATTTCTTTGTAAGAAGATGGAATAGTTTTTGTGACTGGTTACTGTCCCACTGTCCTTCCACCAGGGGCTTGGTCCCCTGTGATCTGGGAGCTCACCCTTGCAGGCAGCTCCAAGTGACAGAGTGGCCTCAGTGTGTGACAACTGATATCTAGATGCTGGCAGCGCTTGGAAGAAGTTGCTGTATGTTTCTTATTACTTTAATCATAAATAAGCCTGTGGGTCTGTTTATTTTTTGACTGCTCAGAAAGACCTTTTAAAATTTAATAAAAATTATTCTGTAAACTTGAATTTGTTTTGATATCTAGTTCTATAAGTTTTAACACATATATACCTTTGTGGAACCACATAAACCTAATCAGGATTCAGAGCTATTTCATGATGCTCAAGAAAACTCCCTTATGCTCCCACCCCACGTATACAGACCCTGGAAACCACTATTCTGTTCTCCATCATCATAATTTTGCCTTTTCAAGAATAAAATCTAAATTTTTGTGTTTCAAATGTTGGCATAAAATCCAATACTTAAAGTAGTTCTAGACTTCTATTCACACACACACACACACACACACTCACACGCGTTCTTATCTTCTGGTTTGTTGCAGCACGGATTAGACAGCAGTTGCACAGATACATGGGTTAAGGTGGCCCATGAAGACACCATTAGAAGGACACTCTTGGAAAAGACGACCCATTTTGCCAATCTTCATCAACCTTATTGTATTTCAGAGCAAATAGCCTCACCTTCTTTCTCTTACACTTATCCTTCTTGGGAATGTTACAAGGTGAAGTCTTAGCGTCATGATGTCTCAACAGCAGAAGGTGTCTTTTTTTTAATGTTATAATCAGACATTGGTGCATCCATCTTCCAGTTGCTTGACAGCAAAATCAATCCCTGTTGATTGGAAGGAATCCTGGCTTTCACTTTTTTTTATTGTATCCATGGGTTCAACCTTGAGCATAATAGTCTTTCTTGTTAGGGCTTTCATGAAAATGTACATCTTGGCAGTGGGTCTACTGGAGATAGTGGATCTGCAAGGAAGATCCAGTTCTGATGAAACTTACTCAAATTTATCTGAAGCTGAATTGAAGGTGGGTTATTGCAGGAAAAAGAAATAAGAGGTCTAGAATCACAACTGGGGTTCTTAACTAAAGACTCAGAGGGAACAGTCGTCACTGTAATTAGACCACCCAGACTTAGTCACCTGGATTGTTAGAGGAATCAGTTGAAGTTGTTCGGAACGAAACAAGAGACTCTAAGAGAGAAATGGAACAGAGGACACCTCCCCAAAATGAGGCTTTTCTACAGAAAGTGGAGGAGGTACATGACCCCTCTCTGAAGTGCTCCCTGGTAACCTTATTCCCCGACACACACACATGCACACACACACACACACACACACACACACACACACACACCCCTGATAAAGCCATTTGATTCTTTAAGGCAAAAGACCTCAGAAAATTTTCTCTCTCTATTAGCCACATTTAAGCTTGACTATTAGTGACAAAAAATCCAGCACTGCAGTGGCCTGAACTAAATCGAAGTTTATTTCTCCCGTAAATATAGGTTGTCCTGAGCTGGCATGCCAGTTCTACAGTCATCAGGAAGCCAGACTCCACGTCTCTTGTTGCTCTCCATCTTCCACATGAAGCTTTTGCCTTGTGGTCCAAAAGGGCTGCTCAGGCTCCAGCCATTATGCTCACATTCTAGCGAGTAGGAAAAGGGAGGGGAATGAGTCAGGATCTCTCTCTTTAAGGGCTCTGTCCAGAAATCACATGTTCCAACTGCACTTACCATATCCTCTTACTTGTCTTTTGACTTAGTCAGTTGACCTCACTTAGTAGCCAGGGAGGCTGGGACATAGGGTATTTATTCCACACAGCTATTTACCCAGCCAAAGATCAGAGAATACACATTAGCATAAGAGGAGAATGTGGCAGTCTCCACCATACCCTGCAAAACTAACCACAAAAATTCCAGCAGAGAAGAATTATGAAAACAAAATATCCAGCTGTGAGTGTGAACCCAAAGAGCTTGAACCCTTGAGGTTCACCTTCTGTTTGGTGCATTGTCTCACTTCTTTTACTTTACCCACCTGAGGGCACACAGCCTCACCTTTGAAATTTAGACCCGGGAGGTGCGACACCTCCTTTCCTTCTTTATCTCCAGCATGAATTTGCTCTCCAGGCATTTTCAAAGAACTTTATTAAATACAGTGCTCAGGTACATAAAGAAGAAAACAGAAAATGCCAGATGCTCAGAAACTTAACAATTTATGTCTGAATCTTAAGGTAACTGCTTTCTATTTCCAAAAGGCAGAGGCAAAAATATGCAAAGATCATGATAGGCTTTGTTCCTTTCAGCTGCTCCCAGGTCTCAGGTCTCAGTCGGAGGGGAACAGCTTTACTCTTCTGGAACAAGGCACACGATCATTTTCAAACTCTGCCATCCCACTGTGCTCAACCATTTCGCTCTGTCTTTCTGCTCAGGGGCAGGATTGTGAGCCTTCAGCTATGGTGACTAATGGTAAACACTTCCTCTCAATGATCTTGTCCCTTCAGGTCCACAGGGCAGCCAAGCTTTTGCTCCACACTAACTAGTGTATCTTGGAGATCTTTTCATCTCAGCCCCTGTAGATCAAATTCATCCTCTTTGATGGTTGCCTAGATATTTCATTGTGTGTATAACTTCAGTTTGTTTAACCAGACTCCGATTGCTGAATGCTTTTAGGTTCCCACAGTAGAATTATGTTTTTATTGACTGACTTTTGAACGGGGAAGAGCCGATGTTTAGAGGGGGATGTAATGGAAAGAGCAGGTCTTCGGCAACTTCTCCCATGTCACAATATTTTGAAGGGTGGCTTCATCTGAGAAGCGTGGATAAAAATAATTCAGTAAATTATGGGTGAGAAACAAACTCTTCCAAATCTGCTGGAGGCTAGAAACAGATTCACTGGTGTCCTTGGGATCAGAGAAGAGTATAGAGTCAATAACTTGAAAACTGGGTTCATTGAAACAACAGGGGCTGGTTCACAGACTTTTAAATTTCATACCTCAAATCAAAACTTTGGCCTCTAACACTCAAGCCACTTGATGCAAAAAACAGAGGTGGACCACAGCAAAAATTCACACTTCAGAAACCAATAATGCGAAGAGCAAATGGCCATTTACTTTCTCCACCAAACTTCCCTAATCCAGTTTGATTGCTCTTGAATAGCACTGGCTTAAGAGTTTGTAAAGTAAACACACTTCCAGGTTTTTGGGAACCCTTGCCTCCCAATTATGTCTGACTCTGTTTGCCTCCCAGCTGGTGGCCTTCTCCTGCCCCATGGAGAATTCAGCTATTCTATTCTTTTACTATCAAAATTTGCTCTCAAAAGCAATGGAAAAACTCATTCGCATTAAAATTTAAGTTGATATTTAAGTGATATCAGGTAGGAAAGGAAACTGGCATATATATGCATATACTGTGTGTACGTGTGAGCGTGTGTGCGTGTGTGTGTGTGTGTGTGTGTGTGTGTGTGTATCTATATATATTTTAACAGTGTCTCTGTCACCCAGGCTGGAGTGCAGTGTTGCGATCATGGCTTACTGCAATTTCCGCCTCCTGGGTTTAAGCCATTCTCCCAACTTCATCCTCCTGAGTAGCTTGGACTACAGGCATGCACCACCATGCCGGGGTAATTTTTAATTTTTTTTTGTTGTTTTTTGGTAGAGATGGGGTTTTGCCATGTTGCCCAGACTGGTCTTGAACTTCTGGGCTCAAGTGATCCTCCTGCCTGGGTCTTCTAAAGTGCTGGGATTACAGGCGTGAGCCACCACACCTGGCCTGTATATATATTTTAATTTAGATTTCTAGTATATCATAGGAATTTTAAATATACACAAAAGTAGAGAGAAAAGTATAATGAACTCACACAAACCCATTGGCTTCGACATTTATCAACAGTCTATCATTTTTGCTTCCGTTCTTCACTTATCTCCCCCTTTACTTTTTTTTTTCTGGATTATTTTAGATGATTTCCCACAAATACAAGAAGGTATATTTAATGAGAATAAATGGGAAGCTTAGCAGGGCAGTGGCTGGAAAGGGGTGAAAAGCTGCAGGAAAGATTCCGGATTGTGTAGTGACGCCTGCCACGAACGTAGAGGAGGAGGCAGGGGCAAGCGCCACGCACCTCCCACGTGCCACCTGCTTTCAGCCGAAGGAATTAAACTCTTCCTCTAATATTTTCGGCATTTACAGCTGGCAGGGGAGAATGTTCTGGAGGAAAGAGGGCTTTTCATGCTCCGATCACCTCCGGTAGGCAGTTGCCTCTTCCTCTACCACCCACTTTGTATCATTTTTCCAGCTCCTTGATGTGGTTTGAACAGAGTGGCTGTGAGTGGCAGCGGCACACAGGCTTGCCGTGGTGAGTCTCTGTGGAAGGGAACAAAGTCAGGCAAGGCTCCAGGTGACAGGCTGCCTGCCACCACGTAAGAGGAGGGAACAACAGAACTTGCCATTTGGAGCGACCGTGGGCTTCCAGCCTCCTGCAGGAGGATCAGCAGCTGCCAGTGGCATCCAAACTCCACTTTCTGCACAAAATGAAGATGTCACGGGGACAGAAAAATGCCAGTCAATTGCCCTTTGATTTTCTAGTCTACCCCAGCAGCAGTATCAGTTTTGTCCCCCAAACTCTTTTCTGGCAAAGCCTATAGGGCCCAAGTATGTAGGGGGTGTGATGTGGGTGGGGAGGGGTGCAGGGGGAGGGCTGAGGGCTTGTGGGGCTGGGCGCAGTGGCATCTTTGGGAACTGCTGCCATACACCCGCCACGTGTTAGGCTGTGTGTTCTAGAAGTGTCTGCAGGATTAGTTGGCTATCTGAGGAACAAGTGTTCCTGGGGTGGATTTACCGGCACCGGTTAGATGGCAGGATGGTTCCGATTCACTGTTGAACCTGACACAATGGCAGGAGCCCAGAGGGGCCTCAGGAGGGTTCCCAGGCTGTGCAGATAGGTTCATCGCATCCTGGCAGCACTCATGTGCCGCCCACACAATGTGAAGGGCCTTTAGGAGAGAAACTGTTCACAGTGATGTCTGCTGTTGGCCACATGGGCCTTCCTTGAGTCTGGTGAGCTTTTTTTAGTGCCAGGGAGCTCATGAAGATTATTATCTCTCTGGCTTGAGCTAAACAGAGGCCACAAGCCCTCTACTTCAGCATTTTCTAAAGTATATTATGCTAAGTGCTAA